TAATACGCTCTATTAACTAATTATAGCAAATTGGTAGGGAACGGGAAAGAATAAGAAGAACGGAAACATATTTGAACGGTGGAAGTAAGTTGTTAGATCCTATCTGCTATCTTGTGTATATAGAATTGTTTTTATTTCCATGTCATATATAATATAGATTTTATCTCCTTAACTAATTATATCATGTTCTGGTTTAGATGTTTTGATTGTCAAGGATTTGGGCTAAAGAGTTGTCCCAGCTGCGGAAAGGGTGGGTTAACACCTGAACAGAGAGGAGAAAGATAAGACTTCAATCACATGTACCTTTCTACTTATTAATATCAATACATTGTCTTATCCCATGAGGACTTGTCAATCATTTGAGACTTGTAAGCAAAACTTTAATTTAATGTTAATCTTTATTGTGTGAATTATTAATATAGAATTGTAATTTTGATTAAAAATTTATATCAAGATCAGTATCTTAGTTATTACACTTAAGTTTTGTCTTATTTTTAAAACTGGATAATTGAGTTGATAAAAATATTTATTAATAGTTTAATAATTGAATCATACTCTAAACATGATAAAATTAGTGTGTCTATGGATACAAGGACAAAATTATATGATGTAAAATGTTAAAGTTAAACTAATAAACTTACATGTAATATTGATTTATGGATCTTTAACTTTATCCGCTCAACCTTTTACATTAAATTTTTTCATAAAATATATTTAATGCATAAAATTACATATAATTTAAAGACCTATTCATACCTCATTATATAATTTTATTTTAGTGTATAATATTATCTAAATATTACTTTCAAATTTGATCCAATTTTAAAGGAATTATTTGAAATAGAACAAACTAAATGTTATTTAAATTATTTATCTAACAAGTCAATCTTATCTACTTAATTAAAATAAATATTTTTATGGGTAAATGACACACAAGATTGTTATTAACATCAATCCCTTTCATTTAAACTTATCAAAGTTGTAAGGATTTTTCCTGTTAAAGAAATAGTAATATTATTTTCTTGATTTCAGTTTTCAAAGACTATAGACCTAAAAATATATTTATAACATATACAAGTTTATTTAATAATATTATTTTTAAAATAAATAAATTATTTTATATCACTTGTTTCAATCTAATGCAGTTAATCAAATATTAAATACATGTATTACTCTTATTGGTTAATCAATGCTATGAATATAATATAAGCATGAGAATAACATGTGCTGCTATTTTTATAAACTTTTTCAATTTAGTTTCCTAGTTTATGAAATAAAAATAAAAGGATATGCAATTTTGACAACGTATGCCGTTGTATTTGATCCTTAAAATATAAAAGTAAAACAAAAAATTATAAAATTTCACTCATCAGATTAGTCTAAAACTATAAAGAAAAATGTAAGACTTAAATAATATTATTATATATATTTAAAAATTAAAATAATTTTAAATAAATAAATTTAGGAACTTAGATAAAATAATTAGAATTTTCAAATATTTATTTAAAAATATTATTTTAAAAAATAAAACATGAATGACTTGCACTTTTTAATATTTGAATGGTATTTTATTCAAAAATAAAACATTTAAAATTTAGTTTAATACTTAATTTTATATTGGAAAGATCTAATAAAAGTATCACATTTATTACTTTGGTTTGTAAAATATCACTTCCTTTTGTTTCATAATAAGTGTGTGTTAGAAGAAAAAATAAATTTAAAATAAGTGTTATATAATCTTTTAATGACCTATTTTTTAATTTTGTCCCTAATAATATTATTTAAAAAGTAATCATTATTTTTTATCATTTTAAAAAAAGAAACTTAATCATAAAATTAATTTTATAAAATTATTATTATTTTTATCGGTATAAAATAACATAAGAGAATACTTATTATATTATATAAGAAATAATTAATTATATACATCTTCTATAAAAATTAACTCTATATATATTAAATGCAAACATGTATATTCCAAGGATTTTTAAGGACTAATATTTAATGAGAGTGTTTTTAAAAATTATCTTAATTTATTATTTAATTTAATTTTTTATTTATTATATTTATTACCTTTGTATATTAAAGTAATTAAACACAAATAATTAACATATTTATATATTAATTAAATTTTAAAATTTTTAAATAAATTACTAATAATTAAAAATAATTTTATGTTATAATATAAACTAATAGTGTATTACAATTGTACGATTTAAATCTCAAAAAAATTTAATAATTATAAATAACATTATATATATATTATATATATATAATATTTTAAAATTATATAATTATTGACCTATTTAAGTTGTATTTATTATAATTTTCATTCATATATCAAATAATACATATTTATTATTACTAATATAAAAAATTATGAGAGATTTGAAGGAATCAATGAATGTCTTCCAAAGTTTACAATGAACTTTATACGCAGTATTTTATATACTTGACGAAGATTACAAAGATCTTTATTTATACTTTTAAAAATTATCATAAAGATAATAATTGTAGTAGTCTTATTCATAATTTGTTTCAACAGAAAGTATTTATAATCATATTATTTTTCTCTATTTACTGTTATAAGTAAAAAAAATAAAACTAATTTTAGGTATATTAAAAAGGGAGAGACAAATAGAGGGAGAAAGAAAAATAAAAGATGAGAGAGAAAGGAAGAGAGGGGGAGGGAGAGTGTGAGAAAGAGAGAAAGAGAGAAAAAGAAATATAAGGAGAGAAATTTTTTATTTTAAAAAAAATATAATGGTTTTTTATGTTTATAAAACTTTTTCTCAAATTCATGAAAGTTAGAATTTTACCTTCCTCAAAAAAATATTTTTGTAAAAAAAAATGACATAAAAATGATTTTGAGAAATTGGATTTTTGAGATTTTTTTTTCTTCAAATAACTATTAAACATGAAGAATTAAAGATAAAAACATTTTGTGTGCCTAATATCTCCTTAATATTTTGTTTACAAATTAAAAGTAAAATTAAAAATTAAAATTAAAAGCATATTTAATGCAGAAGAAAATTAATGAAGAGAGGTGAGGTATGCTTGATTTTAGTATAAGGGAAAAAGTGGTAATAAGAAAAGGATATTGTGGTGAATTATAAAGATTTTTTTTCTTCTGAAATATATATATATATATATATATATATGTGATAATT